TTTATGGCACACTATGCATTCCTACAGCTTTAATTGCCGTACACATCATGTGTGATAGGCTTAACTGAGTTATCATGGTTTTACGACTGGTCAGAGGCAAGCGTTTTTTGTGGTTGTGGAAACAGACATCCTGCCAAGACTAATTACCTGTTTACAGTTGGTAACCAGGCCTGGATTCTGGTGTATGTTGTGTTTTAGTTAAGACAAGAGGCTCTTTTGAAGTTTGTTAACACTTACAGCTACAAATTCCATAGTTTGCAGGATGAAGGAGGGAGTAAGATCACTGGCTCATGAAAAACAAACAGGCTGAGACCTTAACAAGATGGCTGTCGCCTACAGCTTCCATGTCCCTATTATGTACAATCATTACACCAACTGGGACAGGGTGTTTTGGAGGTGACTAGGGGCTAGCTCTCTACCCAATGATTATGGCCCATGGAGGAGACTAGAAATTTGTTTGCTGCTCCCGGTCAGAACATGGAAGACCTCAGTTCAGGCTCAAATCATAGAGAGAGTGGATCAATCTGAGATTATGGACAATAACAATTTATTGAACGCTGAGGGCACGACTTGGTTTAGTTTTCTGAATAAGACAAAACAGCTTCCCTTCTAAAGTTCATTTTGTACAGGTTAACCACTTGTTCTCTTAATTTCTCCCCCTTCCTGACCAGCCATTTTTTGCGATATGGTGCTGCGATCATACAATGCTGCACCCAAATTAAATTTACGTCCTTTTTTTCGAGTAGAGGTTTCTTTCTTTCGATGCTATTTGATTGCCTGTGCAGTTTTTATTTTTTCGCTATAAAAAAGACCGACAATTTTGAGAAAAAAAACAATATTTTTGACTTTTTGCTGTTAAACATGTCCAGTAAAAAAATTTAAAAAATCAAATTTCATCATAAATTTAGGCCAAAATGTTTTCTGCTACATGCCTTTGCTAAAATAAATCCCAATACGTGGAAATTAATTGGTTTCCAAATGGCGATATATGTACTTGGATTTTTTTTCTTTTACTAGTAATGGCAGTGATCAGCGACTTATAGCAGGACTGCGGCGGCATTCTGATACTGGGGGGAAACTGGTTTGGTGTCACTGACATCCCCAGTGACACCAATACAATGATCAGTGCTAATAAAAAACACTGACACTGTACTAATGGTACTGGGTATGAAGGGGTTAACATCTGGGGCGATCAAAGGGTTAACTGTGTGCTATGTGCTGTTTTACTGTAAGCTGTATGTGTATTTTCAACTGTAATCACACTGCTTTGTATGGCTGTGCTATGCAAGGAGGAACAGGATGAGCACTGCCAGAGCTTTACAAAATTACCTCCAGCAGGCTACTGGTGTGAATGTCTCTGAGCAAACATTCAGAAACAGACTTTATGAGGGAGGCCTGAGGGCCCAACGTCCTCTAGTGTGCCCTGTGCTCACTGTCCAGCACCATAGAGCTTGATTGGCATTTTCCATTGAACACCAGAATTGGCAGGTCCAACACTTGCGCCCTCTGCTTTTCACAGATGAGAGCAGGTTCAACCTGAGCACATGTGACTGACATGAAAGGGTCTGGAGAAGCTGTGAAGAACATTATCCTACCGTTTCAGTGGTGGGCCAGTGGTCTGGGGAGGCATATCCATGGAGGAATGCACAGACCTCTACAGGCTAGACAATGGCACCCTGACTGCCATTAGGTATCGAGATGAAATCCTTGGACCCATTGTCAGACCCTACACTGGTGCAGTGGGTCCTTGGTTCCACCTGGTGCACGACAATGCCCGGCCTCATGTGGTGAGAGTATACAGGTAGTTCCTGGAGGATGAAGGAATTGATACTATTGAATGGCCCCCATGCTTGCCTGACCTAAATCCAATAGAACACCTCTGAGATATCATGTTTCGGTCCATGCAATGACGCCAGGTTGCACCTCAGACTGTCAGGAGCTCAGTGATGCCCTGGTCCAGATCTGGGAGGAAATACCCCAGGACACCATCCGTCATCTCATTAGGAGGATGCCCCGACATTGTCAGGCATGCATACAAGCACATGGGGGCCATTCAAACTACTGAGTACCATTTTGAGTTGCTGCAATGAGATTTCAGCAAAATGGACTAGCCTGCTGCATAATTTTTTCACTTTGATTTTTGGGGTGTCTTTGAATTCAGTCCTCTGTAGGTTGATAATTTAAATTTCCATCAAATGATGGGACATCCTTACGTTCCTAACACATTACCCAGTCCATATCAGTATAGATATCAGCATGATATTTTTCCCTATTGAGATCTGATGTGTTTTCAAAGTGTTCCTTAATTCTTTTGAGCAGTGTGTTTTTAATGTGGCCTTAAACTGCATTAAAAAAATGTTTTGCATTGATACATGTCTTCCATAGCAATACCCATCTACAGTGGGGATCGAAAGTTCGGGGAACCCCAGCTAAAAATTTGTATTAATGTGCATAAAGAAGCCAAGGAAAGATGGAAAAATCTCCAAAAGGCATCAAATTACAGATTAGACATTCTTATAATATGTCAACAAAAGTTAGATTTTATTGCCATCATGTACACTTTCAAAATAACAGAAAACAAAAAAATGGTGTCTGCAAAAGTTTGGGCACCCTGCAGAGTTAATATCTTTTACTGCCCCCTTTGGCAAGTATCACAGCTTGTAAATGCTTTTTGTAGCCAGCCAAGAGTCAATTCTTGTTTGAGGTATCTTTGCCCATTCTTCCTTACAAAAGTCTTCCAGTTCTTTGAGATTTCTGGGCTGTCTGTCACGCACTGCTCTTTTAAGGTCTATCCATAGATTTTCAATTATGTTGAGGTCAGGAGATTGTGAAGGCCATGGCAAAACCTTCAGTTTACGCCTCTTGATGTGATCCCCCGTGGATTTCGAGGTGTGTTTAGGATCATTATCCATTTGTAGAAGCCATCCTCTCTTTAACTTCAGCTTTTTCACAGATGGCATCAAGTTACCATCCACAATTTGCTGAAATTTTATTGAATCCATTTTTCCTTCTACTCATGAGATGTTCCCTGTGCCACTGGCTGCAACACAACCCCAAAGCATGATTGATCCAACCCTATGCTTAACAGTTGGACAGAGGTTCTTTTTATTAAATTCTGTGCCCCTTCTTCTCCAAACATACCTTTGCTCATTCCGGCCAAAAAGTTCAATTTTAACCTCATCGGTCCACAGAACTTGTTTCCAAAATGCATCAGGCTTGTCTATATGTTCATTTGCAAAGTTCAAACGATGATTTTTTGTGGTGAGGACGTAGAAGAGGTTTTCTTCTGATGACTCTTCCATGAAGACCATATTTGTACAAGTATCTCTTTATAATGGAATAGTGTACCACAACTCCAGTGTCTGCCAGATCTTTCTGGAGGGATCGTGCAGTCAAACATGGGTTTTGAATTGTTTTTCTCACAATCCTGCAAGCTGTTCTGTCTTATATTTTTCTTGGTCTTCCAGATCTTGCTTTAACTTCCACTGTTCCTGATGACTGCCATTTCTTAATTACATTCCGAACAGAGGATATTGACATCTGAAAATGCTTTGCTATCTTCTTATAGCCTTCTCCAGCTTTGTGAGCATCAACTATTTTCAGTTTCAGTTTTCTAGACAACTGCTTAGAAGAACCCATGGTGCTGATTGTTGGGGCAAGGTCAGATGAGTCCGGGCATTTAAAACCTTTGAGATTGACATCACCTGGTCTTCCCAGACGATGATTGAGAACAATCCATGACACTGGCAGGTCTCAGCTTGGCAAAGGGGGCAGTGCATGCTATAAATTCTGCAGGGTGCCCAAACTTTTGCAGACATCATTTTTTTGTTTTCTGTTATTTTGAAAGTGTAAATGATGGAAATAAAATCTAACTTTTGTTGACATATTATAAGAATGTCTAATCTGTAATTTGATGCCTTTTGGAGATTTTTCCATCTTTCCTTGGCTTCTTTATGCACATTAATACAAATTTTTAGCTGGGGTGCCCAAACTTTGGATCCCCACTGTAACTATATACTTTTTGTTAAAAAAAAAGGTTTGCAAATTAACCTTGACAAAGGCTAGAAAAAATAATAATTACACTCCCATCGACCTCATGGGAGTTTGGTGATATGTTGGGTTTGCCAAAAGACCAGAAAACTCTATTTTGCCTAGGTCACTCATCACTATAGCAAAATTTGTAACAAAACGTACATAGGTTTGTTCCAGACCTTTTAAAAAGTAAAGCAGTTCATTAAAGAATTAGATCACTCAGTAATAATATTAATCATAGTTGAGTATCAAATAGTCTTGAAAAGGGCAAGTAGTGTGTTAATTTATTAGTAATGAAGGTATATATGGTAGAGGTGATTTATTGCTAGTTGACAAAGCGAACCTTTCAAATTTGTAATCTTCATAATGCATGTTATCACCTGAATTCACTTTCAAATGCACTCCTACTTTTCCCAAAACATAAAGGGGTTTATTTACTAAAGATGGCGAATGCAAAATCAGGCTCACTTCTGCATAGAAACCAAATTGTATTGCCAAAGCTTAATTGAACAAACTGAAGTTAGAAGCTGATTGGCTTCTATGCTGAAGTGAGCCTGATTTTGCACTTTACAGCTTTAGTAAATAAACCCCACAGCCTCAGTATAATGAACAGTGAAAAGTCAACTGCTAAGCCCTCAGAACTGTCAATAACATAGGTGCATTTGTAGTGAGTAGCATGACTGACAGCCTGGCTTCATCTTTTTGTATGCTGCGCATAATCAGGATCTGGTGATCATGTGATCGCTATGTGTTCACTGGTTTATGAGAAGGTTCAGAGTTTTTGCCTTTATGCTAGCTGCTCGCTATATATTATACCTAGCCAGGGGTGGACTGACAATTCATGGGGCCCCCGAGCAATAGGGGATCATGGGGCCCAGGGGCATCTCATGGGACCCCCTACTGATCTCGGGCCCTTGGGCAGTGCCTGAGTTTCCAAATGGTCAGTCCGCCCCTTTACTTAGCGCTCGTATACTCATTTCTACTTATTTCTTGATTGTGTTACAATACCGGGCCAGCTGCTTGGCTATTCTGTGCAACAGAACCTGCTCCTCGGTCCTACCTGTTCTTTGGTCCTACCTGTTACTTGGTCCAGTGGTGTCTTCATCACCCACTGAGCATGTCCCAGAAGACTACGGGGAGAGAGGCGATCACAGCGGGAGCGGGTACCTGTCAAGTTTGTGTACCCGCTGCCCCCCCCCGCTCCCCAAAGGTCTGCAATCGCTGGTCATCTCTCTCCTGTACTATGTCTGCAGTCTCTGGTCATCCCCGTACTATGTCCGCAGTCTCTGGTCATCTCCTGCACTATGTCTGCAGTCTCTGGTCATCTCCTGTACTGTGTCCGCAGTCTCTGGTCATCTCCTGTACTGTGTCCGCAGTCTCTGGTCATCTCCTGTACTGTGTCTGCAGTCTCTGGTCATCTCCTGTACTGTGTCTGCAATCTCTGGTCATCTCCTGTACTGTGTCCGCAGTCTCTGGTCATCCCCTGTACTGTGTCCGCAGTCTCCTGGTCATCCCCTGTACTGTGTCCGCAGTCTCTGGTCATCTCCTGCACTATGTCTGCAGTCTCTGGTCATCTCCTGTACTATGTCCGCAGTCTCTGGTCATCTCCTGTACTATGTCTGCAGTCTCTGGTCATCTCCTGTACTATGTCCGCAGTCTCTGGTCATCTCCTGTACTATGTCTGCAGTCTCTGGTCATCTCCTGTACTATGTCCGCAGTCTCTGGTCATCTCCTGTACTGTGTCTGCAGTCTCTGGTCATCTCCTGTACTATGTCCACAGTCTCTGGTCATCTCCTGTACTATATCCGCAGTTTCTGGTCATCTCCTGTACTATGTCCGCAGTTTCTGGTTATCTCCTGTAGTGTGTCCGCAGTCCATTGGTTCAGAATATTTTTTTCTTGTTTTCCTCCTCTAAAACCTTGGTGCGTCTTATGGTCAGGTGCGTCTTATGGAGTGAAAATTACGGTAACCACTTCCTGTCCGCTGTACACTTATGAATGTCCTCAGACAGAAAAGGTGATATCTCTGTCATCGCTGCAACTACAGCAATGATCAAGATAACATTCTCTAGCCCCAGTGACAAGATAAAAGTAATCTGGGGGCTAACAAGCCGCTGGATTACTTTTACAGGTGGCGGAAGGGCGTCCCTCCCCCTCCTGCCACCGATGCCTTTACCAGGCTCTCCCGTGCAGTCGGGAAGCCCGGTAAGGATGTGACCTGCGGCATCCAGCTCTAGACAGACAGAGAGGAACAGATATTTTCTGCCCACTGTGTGGTCAGAAACAGGAAGCAACAAGGATTTTGTCACTCTCTGTTTTGGCTCTTTGTTTACCTGGCCGTTAGCGGCCAGTGAAGCAACCGATCAGACTGATCTGTGTCTGTGTCTGATCGCATGCATTGGTAGGCCAGAGGAAAGATTTGGTGTCTAATAGACCCCTGATCTCTCCATAAAAAGGACCTGCCATGGCCCATGCTATCACAAGAGATGTTGTTCATCCCTTGTAATAGAAATAAAGTTGATAAAAAAAAAAAGTTAAAAAGGTACAATGTAAAAAAAACAATTAACGAAATAATAGCAAAAAAAATTAAAAGCATCCCCATTCCCCCATGCTCACATGCAACATGCACATAAGTCCCTCACGCATATGTAAATGGAGTTTGCACCACATATGTGAGGTACTGCCATGAATGTCAGAGGGAGAGTAAAAGTTCTAGCTCCAAACCTCCTGTGTAACTCTAAACTGGTAACTTGTAAAGCCTTTTAATATGTTGCCTATGGAGATTTTTAGGTACCATAATTTGGCACCAAATGGTATACCATGGCTGGTGTGGGACAAATTCAGATGGTGGGAGTGCGCCCGATTTTAGTCTTGCCTAGGGCAGCATAAAACCAAAATACATCACTGCTCCTTAGTATAGTGTTCCCAAAAATGCAGTTAGCAGGATCAGCCCCATTCACTGCCAGCACTAGCATTTAGCCCCTCCGTTTTTGACAGATGATTTGTATCAATTGATTGCGGGCCAAAGCAATTTATATGCACAACAATACATGGCCATCGACCAAAATTCAGCTCTTGCCAAAAAAATTCACATGGAAACCTATCACGGTTTCTGAATGTAAAACTTTTTGGGGCCTAATCCTTAACATGGGCACTACAAAAAAAGAATGAATTGTGGTCATATTGCTGTTACATATATGCCCAACTTGAACCAGCAGCATACTAGTACGTCACAGGACTTTTGCTTAGTTGTACCGGGATGATGCCTGCAGCTACAGGCATCATCCTGGTATTTTTTTTTTCAGCTGGTGGTTGACTTTTATGTAAAAAGCAATCCTAGTGGATCATTTTACAAGCAGCATAAAGGGACGTCCTCCCCCCCTTCTCCCACCGCCTTCCACTGCTTTCTTGTGATAACCCATCCCAATGGGGATCCGAGAATGAAGCTTGCGGTCCCGCCAGCTGACCATAGAGCTGATCAAAGACCAGAATGGCTCCAATCATCTCTTTAGTCTAAGAAACCAAAAGCTATGAGCATTTTATCTTTTCGGTTTCACCAAATATAAACAGCACCATTTTAAAATTGATTTAAGGGCAGAGGAGAGATATAGCCTCTAATAGACCCCAGAATTCTCAGAAAAGAGTACCTGTCACTGCCTATTGCTATCACTGGGGATATTTACATTCCCTGTGATAACAATAAAAGTGATCAATAAAAAATATGAAAGGAACAGTGTAGAAATAAAAAAAAGCAATATAAATAATTGTTTTAAAAAATTAGAACCCCCATTCACGCACAAAGGCGAAGTTCAGTGTCGATATGTAAACAGAGATTTCCCCATGTATGTGAGGTATCACTGCAAACATCAGATCGAGGGTAGTAATTCTAGCACTAAATCTCCTGTATAAATTTGAAGTAGTAACCTGTAAAGGATTTTAAAGCATCGCCTATGGATATTAAATATTTAGGTAGTTTGTTGCTGTTGCAAGGTTGTGAGCAATTTTAAAGCATGTCACATTTGGTATCTACAATATTAACATGACATAACATCCTCTTTTATATGTTATCAAACAATTGGGCAATATATTGTGTTTTTGTGCAATATAATTAAAAAAAGTGTTTTTTGTTTTTTTTTATTGCGTTTAAAAAAAAAAAAAAAAATCGCTGCACAAATACTGTGTAACATAAAAATAGCAACATCTACCATTTTATTCTCTAGGGCCTCTGCTTTAAAAAAAATATATAATGTGTGTGTTTCCAACACACAGGGCAAAAGGTTCCAGGCAGAATAGGTTTAGATCTAGCATCAGCCAGAAGTATGGTCTCCAGAACAGGGTTGTAGGGTCTGGCTGCAGTTCAGAAGCACCCCAGTACAGGGAGGAGGACAGGAGGCACAGAGTCCACACACACACACAGCAGGGTTGGCAGAGTTCTCGTAGGGAAAGGGTTAATCCACAAAAGGAAGTGGGCACACATCAGGGATGGACAGGGATGCAGCACAACATGGGCAAAGTCCTTGGCACATGGTGGCACTCTAGTCCAGAATCAAAAGCAACAATCTGGGCCCAGTGAGTAGCAGACCAAAAACTGGTACAGTCATGTCCAGGGGCACAGAGCAGCAATTCAGGGACTCGCCAGCCAACAGTGGCCTCAGCAGAGGAAGTATAGGCAGAGTGTCATAGAGAAAGAGGTTCACAGGGCAACTCATCACGAATCCTCGGAGGCTGTGTGTCCTGGTCTCAACTTCAAGACCACACAGTCAACAGTTGACAGAAGAGCAGAGGGTAGAATAAAATCCCAGTGTTTGGAAAGCCACACAGACAATGCAGAACTACAAGTCACAGAAGTGCAGAAAGTAAAGCACAGCCCATACCGAACTATCTGTCTCAGCAGTTCAATGCATCTTCTTGTGAGACCTGCAGCAGCCATGAGCTCCTCTGTCCATCACTGAAGTAAGCTCTGAACATTCTATCCCTTTCTTCCAGCATAGGGACATTACAATGCATCCAGAAAGTATTCACAGCACTTAACTTTTGCCACATTTTGTAATGTTACAGCCTTATTCCAAAATGCCTTGACACAATCCTGTCTGGAAGGTCTATGGACAATTCCTTGGACTTCATGGCTTGGTTTGTGCTCTGACATGCACTGTTAACTGTGGGACCTTATATAGACAGGTTTGTTTCCTAATCATGTCCAATCAACTGAATTTCCCACAGGTGGACTCCAATCAAGTTGTGGAAACATCTCAAGGATGATCAGTGGGAACAGGATACACCAGAGCTCAATTTTGAGTGTCATGGCAAAGACTGTGAATACATTTGTACATGTGGTTTTTTTTTTTTAGTTTTTTATTTTTAATAAATTGCAAAGATTTCAAAACTAACTTCTTTCACATTGACATTATGGGGTATTGTTTGTAGAATGTTGAGGGAAAAAATGAATTTAATCCATTTTGGAATAAGGCTGTAACATAACAAAATGTGGCAAAAGTTAAGAGCCGTGAATACTTTCTGGATGCACTGTATATTGTCCCTTCAATTCAACCAAACCTCAAGAACCTGGTGCTGACACGTCTGGCTTTTTCCAGCTGCAGGACACTGTGCTGTCTGTGCCTCCGCTAAGATTAACCTCATCTCCCACCCACTGCGGGGTACAGGAACTCATAGATTAATTGAGCAGATAAGCTGACTGCTTGACACACTGTTGAGTTCAACAAAACAACACACAAATAAAATAATAGTTCTGATCTCCGTCACAACCCCTTTTTGGAAATTAGACACTCCAAGGTATTTGCCAAGAGGCATGGGGAGTCTTGCAGACCTCATTTGTTGCCACAATTTTTTTGAAAATGAAGAAAGAAAACAAAAATGTATTTATTCTTTCCTTTTCCAAAACCCTGTGATAAAAAAATTATATCTGAAAAATAACCACCATGCCTCTTATCAAATTCTTTGGGGTGTCTACATTACACAAAGGAGTCATTTGGGGGGGGGGGGGGGTTGTACTATCCTGGCATTTTAGGGCTTTTGAAACTGTGATAGGTAGTGAGGAAGTGACATGAAGAAATACTGTATGCCCTTGGGGGGCCTGTATGTGGCTAGGCTGCTAAAGATGTCTCACACATCTGGTTTCCCCATAATCGGGAGAATTAGCAGAATGTGTTTTGGGGTGTTTTTACACATATACTCATGGCATATGTAAGCAATATATAATTTAGGTGACAGCCTTGAGTAAAATGAAAAAGTTTTGTCATTCTCCAAAAATTTTGGGCAAAAAACTAAAATCTTCCATGGACTCAACATGCCTCTCAGCACATTCCTTGGAGTGTCTACTTTCCTAAAATGGGTAATTTGGGGGATTGTGTACTGCCCTGGCATTTTGGCACCTCAAGAAATGTGATAGGCAGTCTGAAAGTAAAATATGTGTAAATTCCAATATAAGTACCATAGTTTGTAGATGCTATAACTTTCACACAAACCAATTAATATGCACGTATTGAAATTTTTGTTACCAAAGACATGTAGCAGAATACATTTTGGCCTACATTTATGACTAAATTTGAGTTTACTGGACATTTTTTATAACAGAAAGTAGAAAATGCCATTTTTGTTCTAAATTGTGGTT